GCACGATGAGACTATTGAAGTTTTCCTATTATTTCCCAGGCCCCATAGCAACCTACGGATACGTTTCCCAAGAGTCTGAGCAATCGCTCCTGTAATGACATCAATGACAACTCCTGTCAACGACGCCAACATCAATCTGCTGTATAAAAACATCTTTGCCCTTCAATTGGCTCTACCTCGTCATCATCATTCGTCTCTCAAGGACCCGCCAGCTCAGTTTAAATCACAACTTGTATATAATATAATCATAAATAAATTGTAAAATGACTTGATGTTGTACATCTGATTTTAACCTGAAAATCGATCATATAATTTCAATTTAATAATTAGTTGAAAATAATACGATTATCCTATGATTTTATGTTTGATTTATGTCTACTTTGGTTTTCGCAAATCGATCTAAAAACCAGTGGCGTCGCCCTAACCTCAAACTACCTGTTCAACAACTCAGTACCAACATTTCAAAGGGGCGTAATTGCATTTGTAAACAATGGCTTTAGCCGTCGATTTCTCGCAAATAAAAGCTCACTCATGAAAATTAATCACACCAACAGGAAGAGGAATGTTTCCTCTACAAGCTAGCATTGTTAATTTGGAGGAGTGTGCTTTAATTTGCGAGAAATCAACGGCTAAAGCCATTGTTTACAAAAGCAATTACGCCCCTTTGAAATGTTGGCACTGAACTCTCAAAACGTAAACAAACAAAACAATATTGGTTCCAATGGATGCAAATCAGTGAAATTAGAAGACCCTATGCCTTTTGAAACTGATTTGAATGTTAACATGACCCTAAATAACGTTTTCAAAGTTGTTGAACAGGTAAAAAGTGAGGTTACGAGACGCCACTGCTAAAAACATTCATTATATGGATGATTGTCATTTGATTTGTTCATATTCCAACAGATGATAAATCGAACGAAAATCCTCTCAAATTCATCTGATAATAGTTATAGGGCTTGAGTGAGGCAATAACCAGGGGTAAGTCACTCAGCACATTGTGCCGAAATTAGATTCAGTACAGCTTGGGCACATACATCGTTATTGTTATTGTTCGCTTATTTATTTGCAGTTGAAGAAAAGTTATATTTTAATAAACGAAAGTATTCAAAATTTAGGAATATATTAAAACTTGGAGTCTGCCAGTAATGTCTTTCTTTGCTAGCAGCTGTCAACATTTTCAGTGCAGTGTGATTCCTGCGATTCCAGTTTTCGATCTGAGGCTCGAAAGACTGTGAAGTTCCAGACGGTATCAGGTATGGTTATAAATTGTAAATCGGATGCAGTGTAATCGCAGTCGTTCCGAAACAGAGATACAGCCAATTGCAGCTTGCTAAAAATAAAAATAGATTATATGGAGATCCCAAGGATGACTTTATGGAAATGCATGGATCTTCACAGAATTTCGTGAAAGCGCTTGCGTCTTTTACAGTAAATATATATTCTCTCATGTGATTCCAGACTGCTTAGAAATTATTCCAAAGATCTTCAGGTGTTCTAAGTTCTCCATGAAGTCCAATTTATATTTTTTTCAAAGGTTCGAGTATCTCGTCGTTAAGGTAAAAATCAACGATCTCAACATTGGAATCGTCACCATCTACAATCCCTCCGTCTCGAACCCGCATTTTGCACGAGAGTACGAGATGCTCCTTTTCGATGTCCAGGATTTTGCCTTCGACCGAATCTTCGTTGCCGGAGACTTTAACATCAACGTCACTGCTCAACAGTCATCAGGAAATCTGAGATCGCTCATCCGTATTCACATTGCCTTCCACCTTACCATCCTACCAACACCACCCACAAGAATAGCAGAAAGAAGTTCAACGACAATCGATCTACTCATCACAGACAGTCCTGAATCTATACGTACAGCTAAGACAAAATCCTCGAGCCTCTCAGATCATGAGATCATCTTCCTGATCTCCGACGTTAAAGTTAGAAAAGCAGCATCCAGCGTATTATGGTCAGAAATTTCCGTAATGTTGATGTTGTTGCACTTCAGGCAAACTTCCAAACAATGGACTTCAGAGAGGCACTCAACACCGACGACGTTAACACTAAAGCACAGACAATAACAACCAAACTGCAAAACCTAATGGACACACATGCTCCTGAACTTGAAATTGTTGTAAAAGATGCACGTACGCCATGGTTTACAACAGAAATTGAAAGGGCCATTGCCGTGAGAGACCTAGCACACGCACTCTACACGCGAAATCCCAACAGGAGAAGGAACGACAATCAGTGGAACGACTTCGTACGAAAACGCAGTAAGGCAGCATCGTTGATCTCAGCAGCAAAGAAGCGATACGGGGAAACGCATTTTGCACACAACCTCCCTGCAAAAAAGCTTTGGAGCAACCTCCGGTGTGAGGGTGTGCATAACAACACCAAGAAGAACGTTGCCGCTGAACATGCTGATCCTGATGAGATGAACCGTTTCTTCTGCGAGGGACATCGACTGCTTGTGACTGACAATAGAGCAGAAGTTGAACCGGCGCACCGTACCGCTAGGGACCGTGGTGGGATGCAGTTCGAATTCCGAAGGACTACAGCCAACGAAGTGTAACGCAAGATTATGGAAGTTCAAACCAATGCTGCAGGTTCAGATGGAATCCCTATCTAATTCGTTAAGATGTTGGTCCCGTTTGTACTGCCTGTACTGGTTCACCTGTACAATGCGGTGATTGATGCCAGATCGTTCCCTGCCGTCTGGAAAAAAGGTCTCATCACGCCCATACCAAAGGTAACAAATCAGACTGAACCTAAACACTTTCGGCCAATTAGTGTTCTCCCTGCCATCTCCAAGATTCTCGAGAAGATTCTGCTCGACCAAATTGTTGGGCACGTGGAAGCGGACGATCGCAGGTTGCTTGCATCGAACCAATCAGGATACAGAAAGGGCCATAGCACAACAACAGCTTTGGCAAAAGTGACGCACGATATTTATGACCATTTCGACAACGAGCAGTGTACAGTTATGGTCCTGGTTGACTTCTCGTTGGCCTTCAACTGTGTTGATCATCGCAAATTACAGAGAAAACTTCGAGAGGAATTTTCTTTCACCTTATCTCTTCTTTCCTCGATCATCGCACTCAGGCGGTACGGATAGGAAATGTGATGTCCTCCCAGAGATCAGTGATAGATGGTACACCCCAGGGCTCGTGCTTGAGCGCTTTGCTATTTAGCCTCTACATCAATAGCCTTTCCCGTGGACTGAGATGCAGTTATCAGCTCTACGCTGATGACCTACAGATCTACATTTCTGGTGCCATCCAAAACGTAGACCAACTCGTCGAAGCCATAAACAACGATCTGGAAAGCATAGAGCGATGGGCCAGGCAGAACTCTCTTTTCCCCAACCCGAAGAAGACGCAAGCAATTATTTTTTGCAAAGAAGGAGCGGTAGCACCAACCACTAACATCGTTTTCTGCGGAGAACACATTATTTTGTCTGACAACGTAGTGAATCTTGGTCTAAGGATGGATCGCAACCTGAAGTGGAATGGACATGTGAACGACATAACGGCCAAAGTTTTTGGAACGTTGCGGACACTCCGAAGATTCGCTCCAGTTTTGTCAGTTCAAACCCGAATAAAGCTGGTGCAAGCAGTGGTCGTGCCGTTTTTCACCTACTGTGACGTCACTTACTATCCTGGACTGTCATCAGCGCTCCGTGATCAACTAAACCGTTGTTTCAAGGCAGCAGTTCGCTTTGTCTATGGCCTCAGACGCAGAGAATCCACTGCTGCTGTAAGGAACTCTATTTTGGGACACGACCTGGACACAAATTACCGGAATAGAATCAGCTGTTTTATTCGTCAAGGGTACGCAGGAACTTTCCCACCTTATCTGCAGCAACACCTGAGAAGAGGACAGCTTGAGCGGGCCCGCTGCTTTGCGATTCCCCATCACACCACATCGAAGAAAAAGAGTGTGATGATCGCAGGTGCAATCATCTGGAACCAGCTCCCTCTAGCAACACGACGACAGACAACGATCAGCGCATTCAAGACAGCGCTCTCAACAGGATCTCAAACCTAGTTTAAGAATTACATACCTACTAAGAAAGCTACTTCCACTAATAACTTATTGTTATCCTTTAGTTAAAAATCAAATGTTGTGTTTTCCTTGACCTGAGCAATGGTGTAACCGACAGGCTAACGTTACGATAATAAATTACAATTACATATACAATTACAAAAAAAAGACTTCAGGTTAATCAAGTATCTTCTGAATCTGAATATCTTCAACTAACCAAAAAATTAAATCACATTTATTAGTTGTTCTCTCGTGATACCAGATTACCCACAAATTATTCCGAAGTCCATTAGGTGATCAGAGATCCCCATAATAACCTCAGGATACTCAGAGTTGGTTGGAAATGCTAACATGAAGCTTTAGTGTGATGATTTATTAGCTAGAGAATGATCTTTAGAAGAGGGTAGGTGGATAGTTCCGTTAGAGTACGGCAGTATGAAAATTGAATAGAAGTTGAAAATGAGCGAAGGGCCATTAATGCGACAGTTTTTCAAGATAGACGCACATTTTTGCCTAACCCGTACGATGTACGCGGGGACTTGAAGTATGTCTCCAAGTCCACAGGATACTCTTTCAAGACTTCGGGTTGATTAAATATCATTCTGAAAACATCCAACAATCCAATCACATCTCTCATATGATACCAGGCAGCTCAGAAATTATTCCAAAGATCTTCGTTCGTTTTAAGATTTCTATACAAGCGGCGCCGGTGGTGTAGTGATCACCCCTCTCACCCCAAAAGGCTTGGAAATAAATAAATAAATAAAAAACAATTTGCAGCTCGAAACATTATAAAAAATAATAACCTTTAGCTTAAAAAACTAACAATCTGGCGACACGGCCGCAAAGCTAACCTAACATTTTGGTGAATGTTCGAAAAATAGAGACCCATTTCCCAATGATAAAAAAAAATGAATATGCCCTAATTGAACCGCAATTAAATTTCTCCCACAGCTACTTACAAATGCATTCCTGGAGGTTTTGGCATTGCGTATCACGTCCAGCATTCCGGTTGCCTAGTCCCACATCCCGGAAGCGCTCCACTGGCCAGTACTCCTTGCTAGTCTTGTATCCCAGAGGAGTCCTTAATGCTGCTGCCTAGTGCTATCTCCCTTGCACTCACTTTCGAACACTCAAATACTCCAAATGGATCGAGCCAAAGCTCTTGTTCGCTGGTACACCACAGAGCAGCAGCTAGCAGCACCAGGCTTCTTCTTCCCGTTCGTCGTATCCCAGGATTCCTCGATCAAAACATCACGACAGGAATGCTCCGAATGGTACCACCCCCCTGAAAGACGGATGCACCGCCTTCCCGGGTGAATCTTCCAACGGCACTTCCTTCACAGACAGTACCTCCCGTTGCGCCGTCCAATCCGGAACAAAACAAGAGAATATTATTCTTTTTCCCACTTTTTGGCTATACTCTTTCGGGGTGCTTTCGGATATTGTATTGGTATTGTAGTATGCTGCTACTCTTTTCCTCCTATGCACACACTGAACGTCTGGTACTCCGCGATGGAGACGGCAGAGGACGACACACACGCACCGCGCGAACGAACGGGGAACTGAGTTTTACACCGACGGAAAACTTGCCAGGTTCAGCGCGTTTCCGAGCCCGGCGACCGGAAAAACATTCCTCCGGCACTAGTCTCGCGCTTGGCAACTATTCTGCCCGGCAAAATACACTATTTCCACTGGAAAAATCGCTTTCTACGCGCGGGACACTCGCTTGCGGACTCAACACACAAAATAATCGTAAACTTGAGTTTTTTTTTCGAACTATAGTCTTTTCCACTTTCGGAGCTCCGATCATCGCTGCTGAGGTTCGCTTGTCGAGCGAGACATTTCGTGCGGAGAAAATAGCATTTTCAGTTCAGTGGTGTCGGGTGTGCGTCCTGGGTTGTTCGATTGTGTCAGGGGGTGCGCAGATTTGATTTATTTCATGAAAGTGGAGGCAGCACTAGACCGAAGGGCGCTACACTCTAAGCTTCGATTACCTAAAATTATCGGTATTTTTACCGATAAAAATCGTTACTTTTTACTTTAAATAGGATATTACAAGGCATTAGAGTGCAATCGGACTAGCGACCTAATAGAAGAGGAGACAGTACGGGGCGAAAACGAACCACTTTTCTGTCAAACGCAAACCAGCTTCTCATTGGCCGATTTGAAGTACGTACACTAATAATCAAAGTTGGCACTCATGGAGAATAGAAGAACTACACTGAAACAAATCGACATGTACCGTTTATCGGATCCATCTTATAACATAGCAATGTCAGCAGATTTATTCATTCTATGTGATGATTTATAGATTCCATCGGATTATCACTTAAAAACTATGACTGCGATATGGAATGATTTCTATTGTAATTTCACATACTTGATAAAACTTTGCTTCGAACGTGGTTAGCGATAGGTAAGATGTATATGAATAGTGTCTGATATATTTTATGGTGAAAATCTGGTGATATGTAACGGGTGGGAACAGACATCTAGAAACTTTAGAGATGAATTAGCCTAAGGCTAAAAATCTCTTTAATAAAGCCTTAAAAAAAAATCTAGAAACTAATGGAAAATCATAAAAGTTTGCACTATGAGAAAATCCAGTAAAATATACCTGTTTTCATGATGAATATTGCTCACTAAAAGATATATCTTATAAGATAATCATGCATATTTTATTGGAGTTGCTTTTAACGATGTTTGACGTTTGTTAATATGTCGCGTGTAAACAGACATGTAGAAACTATTGGACTGTCATTTAACTTTGCAGTATAGGAAAACATGTATATCTCATGGCAATAGCTTCCTTTGATGTTTGAGGTTTAAAGATTGTAAATAGATCTATCTCAATCATTATATAGTCATATAGATTTGCCTTTTATGAAATCCAACAGCAAATATTTGTTTTGACATGGTTTTCTGGGATGAATATTGCTCCCAATAAAATACATCTTACATGATTTTGCTTTATAAATTATTGAAACAATTTTCAACGATGTTATCGTACACTCATTAAAATTATTAGTCGAACTAAATATTGCTAACAACAATGATACTGTATTGAATAATCTTTGTTTGTTATTGTTCCATAAGATAAGGGGTTCCGGAAAAGAATGAATTGAGATTGAAAAAAAAAAATGATTCTACTGCAATGTTTACTTTGCTAAGATTCTAATTGTCTGAGACCCCCTTCACTCTTTGGAATTTATAGAGACAGATAACAGCGCCAATAGGTTTGTGACGATACAACGTTGAACTGCAGCGTTGAAAGAAAACATGCACACCAACATCTATGCATGTACGAACCCACACCATTGAGCGGAGGGTACAGTGCAAATCAAAACACGAAGCGGTGTCATCACTCATCGTCATCTCTCAGCTCTGGCAGCTTCAGTTTGCGATTTCGGTGGCGTTGACAAATACCTTCTTTTTAAAATAGGAAAGTAATCATTATTCCAACGTAGTTTTTGAATAGAATGCGTGCAGCGTTGGCCAAGGAAGATGGCATATTTTATTACAAAGCAATGATTTCAATACGTTGCGTTTTTCGAAGCATACTTCTATGCTTATAAAGGTTATGTTGAGCAACAGATTCACAAATCATCAATTTTCGATTACTTTTTCGAAGGGACGTATCTGCTATTGTAAACAATGCATCTTACTGATACCGGTGGTGATATTGGAAACTCGTTCACTTGAAAGCAAAACATATTACAAGCCCAGCTTGGATGTGTCCTTGTATTCTCAAGCGTTTCTGTTGCGAATAACGTGGTAATGATTGAAAATCGATACAATCGTAACAAAGTGAGAATTTTGCTATCGAAATATAATGATGATGACATCGATCATCTTCTTCCCTCGGCTGGCATCTGTCATACTGACACCTGTCATTTATTGAGCGATTGAGCCCTGGTGGTGAAGTTATCGGGGGACTCCCCCACAGTTTCAATGTGCACTCACTAGATGTCACTGCGATCACATAAAGGTGGTGTATCCATTGCCTTGTACGAGGAATTGATTAATGGGATATCTTGTTAGTTAAATATCTTTGGTTTATACCTATAACATCTACGTTGATTCAAACTAATAGTACGTTCAGACTACAGAGTTATAACATGTTATAGCGCTATCTTGATGGTGGTTTCTGTGTTGCAATTATTTGACAACCGTTATAACATGTTATAACTCTCCAGTCTGGACAGCGTTTTAGGCCCAAGCGCAATGACAGCGGAAGCGGAACGGCAGCGGCAGCGGAAAAGCCCGATCTGAGTAAGCCTACTTGTGGGAATTGTTCACGATTGACGGTCCGAGGAACTCCTCAGGATGTGCATTTCACGACGTTACTGTGCATAGAGCGCGAATATCCTCCCCTTTCGCTGAATTGGATGGATATGCGAATTGCAATGCCAATACATTTTATGCTGAATCATGTTTTATTGAAGTATACATTTCTACTAACTACTTTATACACATGTAAGTGATTTGCACCTGGTTGGAACTTAAAACAAACTTGTGCAAAGCACGTACCTTTAATTTCTATATAAATACAAATAATGCTTTATACTATAACCAAATATTACAAAGTAATTGGGTTCTTTAATTTTGAAAAATATATCGGTTTTTATATATCATCTGAAAAAGCTTCGTTTTCTGAGCACATCGATATTTTTTTCAAACCCACACACTTTCATCTCGATTTTTAAATCAAGATTTATAGCAAAATAAAAACTTCACTGTTTGACACTAAACTGACAAACTGACAGCTCGCTCCCATACAAAGTGACACCGAGGGGCACTAATAAGGTGATTTTTGCTAATGTAATCGTATTTATTTAAAATATTTCCAGTGTACCAAAATTGATGAAATTTTGGATTTGGGTTCCATTTTTAATGCAGATTACGAATATGCATTAACCTCAATACCCTTAAAGAACCCAATTTAAAATATTTGCTATAACTCATCGTAGAAGAGTTTTTACGAAGCGACAATGATTATATTTCAATTGAAAGTTGTTTAAACTCTGTTATTACATTATACGCATTGATAGATCTACAAAATGTGCTCATTGACGTCGAGTAGTTCCTTCCTTTTCTGTTCTTCCGCCGGGGTGAAAACCCATTCCTTCATGTGATCATCTTCGTTTTTTCTGTAAATGTGAAAACATTGTATATCATTTCTAAAATAAGAGATTTTTATCAACACATACTCATCACTCGTCTTTAGAATCAACTCGCTATTTGTCACTTCTTTCGGAAGCATCCAATGAACTACCGGAGAGATCAACTTTGGTTGCATTTTGCTCAGATCTTGCGACCCAGTCATATAGCTGACCGGTATTGCCACCAGGAACACCAAAAAGGTCCCCACCGTCGAGTACCACACAAATGAGATCTTGTAGATCGAGAACTCGTCACTGGGGTCGTCCGTAATCGGTCCATTAAAAACAGACTGCGTCACGTTGAAGCCATACTCCGAGCAACCTTCAACGCTGGTTGGCAACGGCGGATAACTCAAATCGCCATTTTTTATGGCAAACTGTGCTCCCGTTATGATCCAGGACACTCCAATCACACTGACAGCCGATCCCCAGAGGGCACCGTGTTTGTTCGCCCAAGGCCACAGCATTCCGAGACAGAAGATTCCCATGACAGCGCCCTGCGTAACGCTGGCAATTGTGACCACCATCTGTAGAATGTGACCAAACTGTTCCACCACCAATCCCATCACGATGCAGTATAGGCCACTGATGAAGATCAATACTTTCATGCTATTCTTGGCCGACGCGTCGGTATGCTTGAACAGCTTGAACGGTCGAATATAGTCCTCGTAGATGATTCCGGCCAACGAGTTGAGATTGGCAGACATGGTGCTGTGGAGAGGAATTTAGCGCGTTAATATTCAGTTAATTCTAAAACCTATAAAGCAAACACATCGTTACCTAAGTCCTGCGCTGAAAACGCACGAGATGAACACTCCAGGCATTCCTTTAAGATTACCGACCACATCTTGTACGTAGAACGGCAGCAACTTATCAGCCTTCTGAACCAAATTAACCTTGATGGGGTCACAGTCGAAGTATTTGGCAAAAATCACAATCCCTGTGAAGCAGTTCAAGCTGGTAATGATGATGAAGCCAACGCAAAAAATCCACAGAGCGGTACGTGCATGACGTAAACTCGGCACTGCCACCATTCGTTGAACGCAGCTTTGATTCAGTCCCAAGTATCCCGTCCAAAGGAACACGTTACCGATACTGGACGTCCAGAATGTTTGTCGCGTCGTTGCGTCAAAGGTCATGCTGATAACCGAAAGACGAGATTGTAATTGAGTATCAAAGCGAAATCCTATTGACCTAGACAATTTGCACTTACTCGAAAATTTCCAACCGATTACCGGCTGCCGCGCGTGTAAAAACTTCTCCGAACCCGCCGATCTTGATAACGCCAACCGTCACCACTAGGAAACAGGATGCGAACATGATAAGACCTTGAACCACGTCGGTCCAAACGACGGCCTTGATGCCACCGAGCATAGTATAGAAGATGCACACGCAACACACGATCCCGTTGATCAGGTGGATGTTCGTTCCGGTCACCTGAGCGAAGGCCAGCGAAGGGATGAAGATGAAGATCGGCATGATCAGGTAGATGTTGAGAACGTACGTAAACGTGACGAATTTTTTCACCGCCGGACTGAAGCGGTCCTCCAGGTACTGTTGGAAAAAAGAAAAACGTGCCTCAGTGAACGCATTGTCCTATTTTCACCGGGGGTTAACTTCAACCGTACCTGATAGCAGTTTGTTATCTGATTGTTGTAGAACACCGGAACAAAGATGTAGTTGATGATCATGGTGATGATGAACATCGTGGGAGCAATGATCCAGTATTGTGCCCCGTAGGAGTACATCTCAGCAGGAACGGACATGATCGAAACTCCCGATAGTTGACTATGAAGAAAAAAAATGGATTATGTAGTATGTATTTCCACGGGAGATCATAACTATGATCCCTTCGAACTTAGAAGGGAGGCGAATTTGGAAATCTCGATCATGGAAAAAATAAGGGACCTACCTGGGAAACGAGCTGGAAAATCTATAACCAAGACATATACGTAGTTGCATGGATCTAAAAATTCAATGCATACCACGAACTTAACAATTTTTTAAGATTTTGGGTTTTCAAATAACAAATTGGGTTCTTTAATTTTGAAAAATATATCCGTTTTTATATATCATCTGAAACAGCTTCGTTTTCTGAGCACAGCGATATTTTGACCTAGAACTACGTCTTTGTCGACTATACTGGGGTGCAAATAAAACAATATGCGTGGTGAAGCAGTGTTAGGTTTTGAACGCTTGTAACTTTGCCATTTATAGATTAAATTAAAATCCAAGTACGCCAATCGATAGGATATTACATTACGAACCTGCTGAAAAAAATATTTTTTCCAATCTTTCTGTAATTAAACTTTTGAAAATGTACAAATGATAGTTTTATCACTGTTTTCATGAAATAAGCCTTTTTCCCAAACCCAGTCATCATAAACGAATACCACTTGGTTGCACGACATTCTGCTTGAACCTGAAAAGATATAAATCAGAGCTGTTCTCCTGCCTCTGCTCCATTCTTTGCTCGACTGTCGAGCTGTTCAGTCCGTATTTTCGCTCGAGTTCTCGATTCGATTTTGTTTCGTTTTGTGCTGTCGCGTTGCGCCGTGGAAGTGTCGCCACCTTCTCGTGTTCTGGCAAGTTTAATTGAACATGCAAACACGAAACAAATGGTGCGTAAACGTGCCAATGAGCCAGCAGCGGGCCCTTCAAAGAAGGTGCTAATCAAGCCCAGCGCATCGCAGGATGACGCCGGAAAACGAGTACTGCAAGCCAACCAGTATACAGTACTCCCGGAAGAAAATGGCGATGGTGACGCCGTTCCCATTGCAAGACGAGAGCGGATTCCCCCGCTTTTCACGCCGGTGAAGGATGTTGCCAAGCTGGGTGCCGAACTGGCAAAACACAAGCTGCTGCCTCGCTTCAAGCTTTGCAGCATCGGTACCAAAATCATGTGCTCCAGCCTGGAGGAGTACAAACAAATAGGAAGTTTCCTGAAGAACAACAACGTGGACTTCTTCACGCATGATCTGACAAGCCACTGAAGGTGGTTTTGCGTGGATTACCGTCTTTCGAGGCTGCTGCGGTGAAATCCGAGCTGGAGCGGCTTGGGCTCCAACCTGAGGCCGTGTTCCAGATGAACCGGCGTCCCAACCAAAACACCAGCTTCCGTGATCAGTTGTTCCTGGTGCATTTCACGAAGGGATCTACCAGTCTTGCGGCTCTGAGATCCAAAACCCGGGACCTGTTTCAGGTCATCATCAGTTGGGAGCATTACAAACCCCAACATCGTGATGTAACGCAGTGTATGAACTGCCTCTCATATGGCCATGGCACCAAAAACTGCCACATGAAGACAAACTGCGGCAAGTGTGCTGGAACTCACTCAACTGCGTCCTGTGAGCAAGTTGATGACATCGAGCCAACGTGTGTCAACTGCGGTGGAAACCACCAAGCCTCCAATCGCGGATGTCTCAAGCGAGTGGAGTTCATTAATATCCGTCGGAAGGCCACAATCAACAACCAGCTCGGTTGCCTTCGTAATCATCGTTCGCCTCCTGTACTAACGGAAGTCCAGTACCCAGCTCTCCAGCCCCGTCGACATGTTCCGAACCTAGCCCCGCTTCCGCTCAACAACCAACAAGCCAATCCTGCGAGTATCCAAATGGTTCCCAACAGTCGGACAGTTCAGCATCGTCTCACTGTTGCTGCGGCCCAGCCAATTCCAGGTTCATCCACCGCCCCTGGTTTATCATACGTTGGTGCTGTCTCAGGTGAATCTGTCGACGATTCTCCGTTCACCTTGGAGTAACTTGTGACGCTCGTGGCTGAGGTCATCATCATCATGCGTACCTGCAAGACTCGATCTGAACAGCTTCATGCTGCCTTGTCACTCGTCACCAAGTATGGACCGTGAAGCTATAAAAATTGCAAATTGGAACGCTTGCTCACTGACGAACAAGCATAGAGAGCTACTCGATTTCCTCAACACCAAGGAGGTCGACATTGCTATCATCACCGAGACGCATCTGAAGCCCGAACTGAATGTATTCCTTCCCGACTTCCGGCTCGTCAGACTTGATCGCACCTGCTCTGGAGGTGGAGGAGTGGCCATCGCTGCAAGACGGAACATCAGTTGCCGGCTGCTACCAAACTTCCAGCTGAAAACAATTGAAGCCATCGGAGTGCACATCACTTGGCCCAATCACCATCATCGCGGCCTACTGCCCCAAGCAAACCAACATCAGGGACGGGTCGTCAGTGGCCCTCCGCAAAGACATCATCAAACTCACCCGGAGGAGCGAGACCTGAAGACCTGCAAGAGGGCCACTATACCATCTTGGCCCCGGACTCTTCCACCCGGTTGAGTCGGTCTGGGGTCCATGCGACCATCGACATCTTCGTAAGCAACATGGGACACAACGTCTCGCAACCTGTGGCATTCCAGGAGCTGAGCTTGGACCACTACCCGGTGGTGGCCGAAGTTGGATCCTCGGTAAACCGATTAGAAGCTTCCCGGCGCAACTACCATCGAGTCAACTGGGCGCAATATCAACACTGCGTCGACACAACCATCAACTACGATGTCCAACCGGGGACGTCAGAAGATGTTGACCGGTGTCTACAAACCATCGAGGAGGCGATTTCCCGGGCCAGGGAACGACACGTGCCAGTATCCAGACAGGTAAGTAACACTCTGAACCTTGACAGCCCTACCAAAGATCTCATTAGACTCCGTAACACCATTCGTAGGCAGTACCAGCGTACTGGCCTGCCTAACTTGAAGACCAATTGTAATCGATTAACAAAGATCATTCAGGCCAGGTTGGTGGATCTCAGAAATAACGATTTTGCTAGTAAGATCCGCTCTCTCCCAGATTGTGCTAAGCCCTTCTGGCAACTTACAAAAATTCTTAAAAACAAGCCTAGGCCCATTCCCCCACTGACCCCACTGGATCGTCCCGGTGACCCAGTGGTTCATCTGATAACTCCTGAAGAGAAGGCTGCCGCGATAGGTCAACACTTCGTCAGCTCCCATAATCTCGGATAAAACATCATCAGCCCTCATGAATCTGAGGTTGCTGAAAATGCAACCAATCTTCTTCAGATTCCCAACATTTTTCCAGAGGAATCTGAGATTACGGCTGACGAACTGTTGGCCTATATCAAATCATCTAAAAACATGAAGGCCCCAGGTTTCGACAACATCCTGAATCTGGAACTCAAACACTTGAGTTCCAGATTCTACAACCATCTGGCACTGATTTTGAATCAGTGCCTCAGACTTGGCTACTTCCCCTTGTGGGAAGGATCCGTCCTCTCCTTCAAGTTATCGACCAATCAGCCTTCTCTCAGGGTTATCAAAACTGTTCGAAAGAGCACTGTACCACCGGCTCCTAACATCTGCTGATGAAAACAACTTGTTACTCGAGGAACAGTTTGGTTTTCGGAAAGGTCGTTCGACCGTCCACCAGCTGACTCGAGTAACAAACATTCTTAGACGGAACAAGTCGGTTTCGAAAACATCTGCCATGGCGTTGTTGGACGTTGAAAAAGCATTCGACAATGTCTGGCATGATGGCCTGGTGTTCAAATTGCAGCAGTACGGTCTTCCAATATTCCTAGTGAAGATCATAAACAACTATCTATCAGACAGGACGTTCCGAGTCTCTCTGAATGGCATCTCATCGGATGCTTTCAACATCGGTGCCGGGGTTCCACAAGGAAGCATTCTTGGCCCCATCCTATTCCTCCGATATGCCGGCTTTCCCTGATGGTGGATCGTTGTCTCTGTTCGCAGATGACACATCCATCGTCTACAAGGGTAGGGTCATCGGAGCTCTGACTGCCAAACTTCAGAGAGGCCTGGACGTCCTGTCTGAATATTTCAACAGCTGGAAGATCCGTATCAACGCGGCAAAGACCCAGGTCATTATCTTTCCACACTCTAAATCTTCTAGACTTGTTCCGTCGGAGAATAACAAGATCTGCCTGAACGGCACAGTGGTGGAATAGTCCAAAGAGGTCGTGTACCTCGGACTTTAAATCAAGATTTAAAGCAAAATAATAACTTCACTGTTTGACACTAAACTGACAAACTGACAGCTCGCTCCCATACAAAGTGACACCAAGAGGCGCGAATAAGGTGATTTTTGCAAATGTAATCGTACTTATTTGAAATAGTTCCAGTGTACCAAAATTTATGAAATTTTGGGTTTGGGTTCCATTTTTAATGCAGATTACGAATATGCACTTACCTCAATACCCTTAGAGAACCCAATTGAGATCTCTAGCATAGACAATTTCGACCAGAATGCTCTCAAAGTTTGTGATTGCAGAGTTTTAATTTAATTACAAAAATAAATACACATACAGTAAGGTAGAAGTGACCTGAGACTTTTTTCATCTTGGAAACATCCCATCCTCGGCTGGAATTTAACCCAGACACACTGGGGTGATAAAACAATTACGCTTACCGTTACATCACCGGCGCCGTCACAGAAACTAAAGCCCTACAGTAAATGAAATTTCTAAACACATCTCTGTCAACCAACTTTCTCAACATGAAGTCCTCAATGCACGCGCCGAAAGGGTCTGGACCTGACGGCAGCGCACCCATATTTTTGAAAAACCTTTCTGAAGAACTCGCATTTCCTCTAGAGCGTCTTTTCAACATGTCTCTGAAAAATGGAAAATTCCCTGAAATTTGGAAATCATCTTATTGGTACCTATTTTCAAATCAGGTGCAAAATCAGACATTCGAAATTAACGGGGGATTGCTATTATTTCTTGCATTCCAAAACTTTTTGAATCAATCGTTAACGGCAATATTTTTCAGC